TATAAACATATGATGAAACTTCTGTAAAATCTCCAATTTTCTCACAATACTACACAGTTCCTGCTGCTGGATGATAATGTTGCCAGCCAGGAGTCACTAAGGCATGCCAGGCCTTGAAGCACAAAAAGCCAAATACTATGTCGTTCACCACCTACACAATGTCAGTAAGCAGCTATAGAGCTTAACAAAAAGAACTAACAGCTCAGTTCTATCCAAGTGCCTGAAACACTTAACCTATTAGCACATAATTTAGATTCAGTGTGTAGAGTGAGAAAGCCGTTATTCAATGCCCACAATAATAACACTGCCACACATGATGAGAACTTTTTTATTTTTAGATTTTTTTATTAAGATTTTGAACGAACAAATTAATGTCACAACATCACAATTAATGTTCAGATACAAATTTTTGTATGAAATAAGAAAGAAATGGCTCCCAAACTTTGAAAATTCTCTTAGTTGTGCCTCAGATGGAATACTTAAGTTTCTCAAGCTTTAAGTGTGACATGACACTTTCTACGTATTTGGAATGCATTGGTGGCTTGACAGATTTCCACTGTAATGAGTCGTCATGCCAGTAGTAGGGAGAAAGCCAATGCTTCAGATTGAGCTGCTGACAATGAGAGATCCTCAGGGGTAATCCCAAGGATTGCAATTAATCGGTCTAGTTGTATGTTTGTAATCACTGTCATGCGGCAGATACACACGCAGAAGCAGGTAAACAAAAGCTTTATTATGCAAGCTTGCAGGCAAATCCAAAATGTGAGACAAAAACAAGGTCAGTGAACAGGCAAAGGTCAGGCGATGTACGAACAGCATAAACTGGGCTAGGCAAAGAGCAAAGATGAGGAAACCAGAAACAAGATCAAAACTAGAATGGACTATGACCAAATATAAGGCATGGTAACGACTGGTACAAAAACACAGAGCGTATACTTCGCACTGGGTGCTTATATACTGTGGTAGAGAAATTGAGTCCAGGTGTGCATGATTAGTAATCAGGTGAGTTTGAACATGTGTGATGGGAATACGATGGGACTCCGATTCCAGCATAGACGTGACACACAGACATAGGAAAGTGTTCCAAAGACGGCCTTGTGCCCAATGTTCCCAGGATAGGCATTGGATCCACCACAACTTTGATCAGGATAAAGTGACTACTGAAGATGAATAGATAAATGAATCCAACAGGCAGCCAGTGAACTGACCCCAGTGTAACAGTCACATGAGGCTCAGGACTTTATAAATAAGGCGAGTGGCAGCATTCTGAGTACTCTGTCACGTATCACAGAGTCTGGAAATAACGAGATCTTGCATGAGAATTTGAGCTGATTCTGTGGTCAGGAAAGGTTTCTTTTAATGTTGTATTCTTCTGTTGCTGAGATTAAATCTGCAGGTTTTGGTGGTTGATGTGATGTGATAAGAGCCGCTAATCTAAAATCACACTAAAATTCCATTCTTTGGAGTGTGGAGTCTTTTGGTAGTGCTTTTGTGATTTAAACTGTGGTATCTGAATACCTCCTGTCAGAGAATTTTTAATCATAATAATAATTCTCATTTGTCTAGTTCTACTACTGATACAATTCTCTTATTAGAATACGGTATTTCCTTAATTCCAATAGAAGTGCTGTGGATAGATGAAGCTATAACAGTGTGCCTGATAAATGATGTGATAATGTTTTTACCATTTACTGCCATGTATCCTCCATATGCAATGACTAATCATGAAAGGAGAAAACAATGCATCAACACTGCAGCAAACTCTGAAGCTTTAAACAAAAAGTTTCTCGTCACATCTCTGCATTCTCCCTCTTTCTGTCTTCATTTCCACACCTGATGAGAGGCCTGGCGAAGCTCTAAATCGCCTGTCATGTCTGAGCACATCAGCTCTGTGTCAGATTTTTTTCTGTCTGACAGAGCTGCGCATCATAAAGCTGTCTGCAGTGTAACAGGTAAACACCCTCTCATTTCAGAGATACTCTCTCCCACACATAGCAATTTTCACTCCCTACTATTCAGAAACCATTTTTATACTGCACTAAATTGCATTACAAACTGCAGTCATGTCAAAAGTGCCTTCCCAAATACGAGTAATTCCAGCCCAAAAAATAACCTCAAAAACTGCAGTGATAGTTGACACAGTCTATGAGATGAAAAACATACTTTAATTTCCTATAAAATCAACATTAAACAGAATTGATATGATTCATAAATAACACAAAAAGTCAGACAAAAAAGGCAAAAAGTCTTCATAATGTAATTCTCTCTAGAGTTAAGTCCACCTGTAATTCAGATTTTTCCCACTTCCCTACAGAGGGTTTCAGACTGGCACTCAAAGATGTGCAAATGGCAGAGAATGAGAATTCCTCCCTGAAGGCGAGTGAGAGGAGCGGAGGTAATGGTCTGTGACCAGAGCACGATGAAATCGATTTGCCAGCAAGCTGCCACTGAAGAGGGCCTGGCAAACCCACCTGGTTAAACTGTCACCAACAAAACAACAAGAAAAGACAAGAGGACAAAGAAGCAGGACGAGGTATTAATCTTTTTTACACTGTCTCTCTACCCTTCTGTCATTATCTAGATCTTTCTTTAGCTGAGCTGCTTATATCAGAGCCAAACTGGTTAAAAAACACAGCTGGAGTTCTGTTTTGTTAGCCTGTAACACTCTCATTACAATCTCATGTTACCCTCCCACTCTCTCATTTCTCTCGAATCAATTTTTCAATTTAAAGTACTTTATTGGCATGACTGGTTACATACAATATTGCCAAACCATCAATATAGAAAAGATATTTAAAATAATAATAATAATAATAAAGTGACAAAATGCAAGGTGCCAGTGTAGGACAAGGGTATAAGGGTTACAATAATCATGTACATATACACCATAAATAAAATAAATAAAATATAGTAAAGTAAATTAGAAATATATATGTAATATATATGTAAATAAAATTTATGTTGAGAGTGTACAATTGTCCAGTGAAATGTGATCAGAGCAGTAATTGGTTTCTGAGCATGTGCAGCTCAGAGATGAATTTTGCTGCAACAGGTGCGTGACTGTCCTCCCCCAGTAGCACCTGCATTTGGTTCGTTTCAGATAGGATGGAAAACTGTGGTTTCTCTCTCTCTCTCTCTCTCTCTCTCTCTCTTTTTCGCTCTCTCTGGAGGACAGATTGCTGCAGTCTCTCCTTCGGAGTACAGAAAATTTTTACAAAAAAAATTCCATTTGTGTGTAAATGTGTGTGTGCAAACGTGTGTAGGACTGTAACTCCTGAGCTGAGGTTACTGTCTGTGTGAAGTGTCTGTGCATGTTCTCCCTGTGGGTTTCCTCTGGGTTCTGGGATCTATGCTAAATTGCCCCCGGAATAGGCTCCGGTTCCACCACAACCCTGACCAGGATACGGCGGTTACTGAAGACGAATGAATGAATTATCTAGTAAAGTTCTGGTGTGATTTTGATGTTATTCTCTCTCTCTCTTTCTCTCTCTCTCTCCCACTGCATGCTTGGAAGCAGGTGTGTGAGAGTGTGCGTGGTGAGAGTTTCTGATATTTTTCAGCCTGTTTTTTCATGGCACGCTTTTTGTTCATGTAATTAGTTTATATACAAAGTTTTGTTTAGTCAATTTTTGTGTAAATCGATAGGGATGGCATCTACGGGTGAGATGCCATCCCTATAACTATGCCACAGCCTAAGGTGTTTGCCTGAGCTGCAAATATCTGTTGATGATGTTCCTCTCGGTGTTGGAGGGAAAGCTGGATTTGAAATTCAGCTAATGGATCTAAAATGTAAAAGGCCAGGTCTAAAAAGCTTGATTTTCTTTCAAAGTCAGTTGACACTCAATATTTCCTTTTAATGTTAAATAAGAGAGACAAGTGTTCATAGTGGAAATATGTGTGTCCACACAAAGAGCAGACTGCCGAAAGCAGTACAGATGAAAACAGTTCACTGGAAGTAGCACTGTTAGCCAGCTGTGAGACTGCTAATGAGGAGGCAGCAGATCGCAGTGAACTAACAAAAACACAGGATTCAGACATGGAAAACTCTCATTACGAATACACAGAGGAAACTATTTTGGATGTCATGGAAGGAAACACTGAGACAGTCACTATTCAGGCTATATCTACTGAGAAGAAGGTAAGAGAAGCATGTGAAACTGATGTTGGGCTTTCACAAACTGATGTTACAGTAGAGAACAGTGCAGTGGGACACATACACATAGACGATGGTTGGAATAGTGTGAATGAGGAACATATGAGTGAAGAGTTTGCACTGGCCCAGTGCTCACCGGCAGGATGGAACGAATTTAAGCGCATTGGTAGCAATACTTTTTACATATGGTCTAGGAGTAAATGTTTTGTTAACACTAGAAGTAAAAAAGGGAAGAGTACTGTTGATTAAAGCAAATATCAAAGGACTCAACTTTATATTAGGAAATTTCTATTCCCCAAACAACTTTCAGACAATATAATTGAGATGGGTGTATTGTTGCAGGAGGTGACTGGAACTGCACAGCAGACTCTACACTTCATCACACAGGTCAAGAACCTCATCCACAGTCAGCTCTCTACCTTTCACAACTGGTTGCTGAATTAGATCTTTCTTATGTTCGGAGAGTTAAGCATGGAAGTGATAAGCAGGACACTTGTGTAAAAATGATTGAGAATCATGTTAGTGCTGCAAGATCCGATAGGTTTTATATATCTAATTACTTTTGTTGCAGAGTCATGAACTGTTGTATCAACCCCATGGGCTTTACAGATCACCATTTAATTTTAATATATCATCATTTCCTAAAACTAGTTCACGCTGGCAATTTAAGGTGAGATTACTACAAAACTATGAATTATGGAGAATTTGAGTTCTTTTGGGGACAATGGGAAAAAGCAAGTCCCAGTTTAGGAATTTAAAACAGTGGTGGGAAGTTGGAAAAACCCAGATTTGGGTTTTTCTCTAAGCAATATACATCACTTTCCACCACTAAGAGGAGAGAAATGGTGCAGTGGTAACTCAGTGGTTAAGGTGTTGGCCTACTGTTCAGAAGGTCATGAGTTCAAGTCCTGGCACTGCTACTGCTGGGCCCTTGAGCAAGGCCCTTAACCCTCAATTGTATAAAAATGATATGCAAAAATGTAAGTCACTCTGGATAAGGGTGTCTGCCAAATGCCATAAAGTGTAATGAAAAAGAAACTATGGAAGCACTTGAGCCAGACAAGCTTCATAAGCAAGAAACAACTGAAAGCGATAAGCCTGGACTGGACAATGTTTTAAAAGACAAAAGGCAACAATTAGCTCTGTTCATAAGTGAGACAGTAAATGGGCCACTAGTGCAATCTCATTTTGTCTCACTAAAAGATTTGGATGCACCCAGTGCTTACTTCTTCAACTTGGTAAAAAAAAAAAAAAAGTGGCACAGCACAAACTCATGACTGGTTTTACGCCTTCCTGATGGAAAAATAACAACTGAGAGTTCTGAAATGAGATGACATGAGTTTCTGAACAAGTCTGAAAACTGTGATAAGGCAGCAATATGCCAGCTTCTAGAAGCACTACCACATCTAGAAGCTGTGCAAAGAACTCAGCTGGACTCAGATCTTACTCTGGATGAACTTCTCACAGCTCTCAGGTCGTTCTCCTTGTATCGATGGTTTGCAAGCAGACTTTTACAAGCATTTCTGGCATTTGCTGCATAAGGACTTTTATGAAGTTGTTCATGAATCATTTAATGATGGAATACTACCAGTGTCTTCAGTTGTTTTATCCTTATTACCAAAAAAAGGAGAACTTTTGTTGTTAAAGACCAGTACCACTGCTGTGAACTGATTATACATCTATGATTATATCATATCCAATGTCAAATAGGCTTAAAAAATTTGTACATTTTATTGTGCATAATGATCCAATATACTGTATCCCAGACAATCTTGGACAATAATTGTCCCGATAATGGACAATCTTTTCTTAGTAAAAGATAATCTAGACTTGAGCAGGGTTTCTGATCATGCACTTGGTTTGATCTCTATTGACCAAGAAAGGGTATTTGATTGAGCTGACCATGACTATTTGTTCAATACACTAAAAGCCTTTGGGTTTGGGGAAAAAAATTCTAATATGGATAAAGGTTTTATATAGAGGTTGATCCTCATTACTAAAAGTAGGGGGAGGCTTGAGCTGTCCTTTCCTGATCCAGAGAGGGATTAGGCAGGGTTGTCTTATTTCTAGAGAAATCCATAGCCTGGCAATTGGGCCAGTTTTAAACAATCTAAGAAAAAAAAAAATCAGGCGTATGAAGTTTTTAAAGTCACCCTATAAAATAACTCTATCTGCATATGCAGATGGTGTCACAGTCTTTGTTGATTGTGTTACAGCCACCAAGGGACCTGGTCTTAGACATACAAAGAAGACTAGTCAAATTTTTCTCGTCTGGCCAACACTGGATCCGAGCTGTTGCTCTGTACTTGCCAGTGCAAGAAAGGGGACAAGGACTGGTAGACATTCCATCAAGAACCATGGTCAGATTTTGACTGAAAATGTTGGCTGTAGGATGCTCAAAGCTCAGACATGGTGTTTCGTGTACAAGCAGCCCAAAGGCTTCTATACCAGGAAGGTATCACCTGGATTTACACAGCATGTGGATTGGTAAGGAAGGCTGGTGGCATGCGGTTAGACAAACAGCTCTTTTTAATGACATTAGAAGGGACTGGTCTACCTGGTACTTTACCCCTTTATCCATCTGCCTTCCATCCCTGGAAGGTACTTACCTTCCAAACAAAGGATCTAGCTCCAGGACCTTGACTATATGAAGAACCACTGCTCAGCGATCTTTTCTGACCAGTCCAGCTCTCTCTTCAGCCAGATTTTGACTGAAAATGTTGTCTGTAGGATGCTCAAAGCTCAGACACCTTATCTACCCAACCATCACTGAACTCTGTGATAAGACTGTCATAAGATCAACTAGCTGATGAAAATGTGCACAGAGGCAATAAACTTTCTACCCTCACTTTGTCAAGCTGCTAGTCTGAATGGATCGCTTTCAAATACATGGACAGAAAATCAAAATTATGTTTTCCCCTCATTAAAAGTAGCCACTAATTTAGGAGACACACATGAGGAAGAAGAGCGGCTTTTATCTTTCACAACTCCACAAAAAAGGAGTTCAGTCTGACAGTGAAAAGGGCACTTTACCTGGTCTTTGTGAAGGTGTTCCACTTAGAGGAGCTGCCTGGTATGATCTCAACAAGGTGGGCTGGACTGTTTGGCACAGACCTCCCCCATAAAGGCAGGTGGCAGTGCCTGTACAAGCTTCTGCTTGACAAGTGGACAGCTGACCTCCAGTGGAGGATTGTAAATGGGGTGACAACCACAAACAGATACCTGGCACATCTCAATCCAAGTATTAGTTTTTGTTTACAAGTAGAGTATTTTTTTTTTGTCTATGGCTAATTGTTCTGTTCAGCCATTTACCACAGCTGTTTCAACAATTTGGAGAGACCTTTTCCACAAAACTTATGTAATTGTTATCCTTAATTTTTTGTTAGGAATTGCAAAGCTGATAATATGGAAAACAAGGAAAAAACACATTCAAAGACGATGGTCTACAGATTTGGTTAGAATTTTCATAGGTTTAGTAGCTGCGAGAATTCAAGCTGAGTATGCGTACAATAAAATGATGAACAATTTAATGATCTTTGAAAACACTTGGGGTTTCAATAATGTCCTGTGCAGCTCTAATGAAAATGAAGTGTTTATTAATTTTTATTTATTGCATTTTTTATTATTTATGTAATTACTTTTTTTTTTGTAATATAACAGTGAAGGAATGGCCCCATGTGTAAGATTTTAATTAAAATAAACGGGCATTTGAAAAAAATTCTCTCCCTCTCTGCCCCCACCTCTCTCTCCACACCTCCAAAACCTCAGGGTAACATTCACAGCAAGCTGCTAGACCGCTACGATCTCTCCACAGGGGTGCAAAAAATTCTCCAGCATACAACCCAATGTTTTTTTTTAAAGTGCTATCTGTTTATGTGTGCAAATGTATATACAAGTCTATGTTCCTTGCATGCATATACAGTCTCATGTCTAAAATCCACATGGAAGAGTCCACATGGAAGCACGGACTTAGTGAAAACCCCATACCTATCAGAAAGGGCCTAAAGACAAAGAGAGGGGAATGGATGCAGTTACATTACACAATGTACAGAGGCAACAAAAGCCTTTCATGAGTTGAGCTCAATGATACATGAAATTAAAGTTCTATGCAGATATCTAACAGAAACTAATAGTAAGCTACACTTCAACAAGACTGTCTTGCTTATATAGATGTGATTAATATCAAACCAGCCTGGACTACTCAGAGAGCACTAGACTGGAGACACACACATACTCTTTCTCACACATACTCACATAAACATATGCACACAATTTGAGTTGTTAAATGTAAAAACATATCTTTGAATTTTGGAATGGATGAACTGGCAATATTTTAAGTGCCTTTGTTAGTGATACAGAAAAACGTGCAATGGTTTGAAATGGTAAATAACATGTTCCACTTCCTTTGGAACTAGTGGTGTCTCCTTGCTGAGTACATTAAGGTCACCCAAAAAAACACGGTGGAAACCATACTGGCATGTCTGAAAAGGATCAGCCAAATTTTTGTGAGGTGGCATGCTCTACCTGCATGCCAGTTGCATGTAGGCAAGTGAAATGTTGTCTCAGTATGTGCAAAACACTGCTCATAAATCCCTCATCATGCACAGTTAGCAATATTTTGGAGTATTTTGCACAGAAACTAAACAAAACAATTCCTTCAAACATATCACAGTTTGGCCAAACCCAGCATTACTGCTAAAGATATTGATTCTGCAGTATATTAATAAACCTATCATGCTACCAGCTTGTGCCATATTGAGAATGTGCCCAAGCCAGTCCAGCCTATCAAGTCCTATGTGGGAGTTACTGCTAGATGGAAGGTTACTGACAAGCCATTTGTGTGCTTTCACAGGCAACACATAGGAGCTCTGCTCTGTAAAGAAAGGTTAGCCCATTGGGTAAAGTATGTAAATGCACAAGCATTCCTGAACAAAAGTAAAAAGATGTACTCTTCCATTAAATGACATTAAATGCGAGCTACGGCTACCTCCTGGGCAGCACTAGAAAGAGTGTCACTTGTGGACATTTGTCAAGCACTGACATGGACCTCACCATTTATGTTCACCAGATTTTACAGATTGAATGTTGAATGTTGATCGAATACTTGGCAGTGTAACTTATGGTAAGATACAGGCCACAACTGTGTTAAGTTGATGAAACCTTTTTGTGGGCATCCTCGCTCACCAAGTTGCTGCATCCGTAGATGGTGAACTAGCATATTAAGAGAGGTGGGAAAGAAATGCATAAACTCATTGTAATATTTATTGTTTGCAATCCTGGGATCTAGGAAGAGACCAGTGATAGGATGTGGGGTGGAGACAGGAAAAAAACAGAAACAAAGGCATATGCATAATAACACAAAAGCACATAGAGAACTCAAAACATACACGTGATGAAAAAAGGCACTTGTCATGCTGGGACCAGTGACATGTCCCAAGACAGGGAATTTATGACAGGGAGAGAAATGTTTCTGCTCATTAACAACCACTTATGCCCTGATAATGCATCTAGTTTGTGCATATGTAAACAAATAAAGCTAGAAAATAAGATGCAATTATCCTGGTCTGGATCATGTTAAGAAAGTCCTGCAACCAAAGCATTTAAAAATTAGCAAATTAAATTCCATTTGCATTTTTGTATTTGTTTTTGGCCTTTTAAATTATGTTTCATGAACAAATTTCATTCAGGAAGCTCTATATGCAGTTAGGGTTTGGATTGCTGAAGTGCATACATTTGCATAACAAGCTGAAAATAGAAGTATATTGATCAGGCTGTCTTTTGTTTCTCCTTCAATTCATACACACACACACAGAGCAGAATTAACCTTGAAAAGGGAGAGATTTCCAATACAACGGTGGTCAAGTTTCAGCTGGTGCAGGACAAGACAGAATTGTGGCAAGTGCACTGAAGGTCAGGATG